GTGGCTTCTCCATGACTCGGCCTACCCTCTCTATAAATGTCTCTTTCAGCCTGGCTTTGCTCTGTTAAGCCATTGGCCTAAAACAGCTTTATTCATTAACAAATAAAAGCAAAACACAGACAGAAGGACCTCCCATACCACACTATCCTTACCCCAACTCTGTGCAGTTATCTTCACCCTCCGGTTCCTGTTCCCCTGAGATCACCCATTCCCACAATCTCATCTCCCTTTCACACCCCTACTTTATTCTGTTCAAATGATTGCCAAACATCCTCCACCAAGTGACTCCCCTAAATTCATTAGCTGTCCAGACATCCTCAGTATTCAAACACTCTGAACAAATCCTGCGCTTCCAATTACAATACACAACCAAACTCACGGGTCGCCTCTCCAATGCACACACACTCTCACGGCGAAGCTGTCACTTGGGTCAAGGTCATACAACAAACTCCTCATCTTCAATGAAGTCTCCTTCAAGGCCTCTCACTGCTTCCTCTGCCCCTCTCTTCCAAGTCCTCTGTCAGTCACAGTCCCTCTATTGCTACCGACACCACAGTCCTCAGTGCTGTGCCCACTACTGACTGTTCGTCCCCTTGACCATCCAAGTCCCACTTTGGGAACCAAAGTCAAATTTTCCCAACCTTTCCACACCAACATTAAAGCCTATTACAGAATTCCCTCTCACCATTTACCCAGAGCCTCCTCAATCATCCATACTCCTACAATATTTTAATTTCAAAACCCACCTAAACACCCCCAAAAGACTATTCTGATGTAACAAGAGCCTCTTAAATTGCATTGTCCACAACCCAACCAGACCCTGCTTTCAGATAACAGTTGTTCCCCAGTTAACCTTATATAGCCAATCTGAATATTCCAGGCTCCTCTCAGGCACTCTCAAACAGACTTTAGGTAAGTTTCCTGCCAAACAACAGCCTAATTTTTCCTGCCTATTGCCTCTTCCTAAGAGTGGGATCTCTCCTCATTTCCCTGGGATCGCTCCCCCTTTCCCTGGTCTTGAGACTCCTTTTCCAGCTACAAGGACCACGAACCTAACAGTTTCAAACGTACATCCAAGAAAAATAATTTTTCTAGACTCCTTCACTTTACCTCTGTCCAAGTAGCTATATATCTTTCCTGGCAGATTATCAGCTGCAGACTCTTGCACACTCCAGTGCCAGGACATGCTTTTTCCTCAAAATCTACATCCTGGTCCAGCATCAAACATTACTTTTCTAGCCCCAGTTGGTCCTGCAGAACCTGCACATCAACTGTTCTTCCCGGCCTTCACCAACAACCCAGCTTCCTAGGGTTCCTTAGAAACTATGCCCCATGTCATCAGGAAGCAACCAGAGAAAACAACTCCCATAATCCAACTCACAGCCACTCAATAATAAATCAAAGAGGAGGGGGTGAAGGGACTCTAGCCCACTGGAGCACGAGGCTCTGGCAGGCCTTGCCCTTCTCCCCAGTTCCCTCTGCCTTGCTGAAAACCCTTAGACTGCATTGCTAAAGCTAGCCACCAAGGTCTGTTCCCTTATTTGGTTACTGCCTCCTCCTGAGACAAGCTACCAGCTCCAGAAATCAAATTATTAAAGTCCAGCCATCAAAAGCCCACTTTGGTCCACCAAATGAAAACGCCTGATCAAGATACACCACCGCATCCTAGCCCACTCTAACACAGCCCTCCCCTTTTCCTCTTCTTAAAAATGACACCTACACGGTCATTTGCTGCTCTTCTTCTGCTTGGGTCAAAAAGCAGCCACGTGGACTTTTCTTCCCCCGCTGAGCAGGAGCAGATTGTGGGAGGGTAGGGGGTGTCGAGGGTAGGGGGTGTCACCGTATGGTGACTAACTTCTACAGTTAGCAGTCAGGGTCAGATCTAAAGAGCATGTGTTCAGCAGGATCTGGGAATGGTGAAATTCTGTGGCAAATTCTGACTGATCAAATTCACATGAGGACAACGCTGTGGAATCCATGGGTGAGAGGACAACAGGGAAGCACACTCCTCAGACTCTGCAGAACCCGAGAGAGCCAAGAGAGAGACACATTTCCTATGTGCATTTCGCAGTGACTGACTCCACCCAGCACCAGGTGCAGCAGGGTCAGTTATGAGTCATCCCACAAGCCATCCTGGCTTATAACCGCCCCACTTCCTGTTATACTCCTCAGAGCAGGAAATGGTGCAGACCTTTCAAAGCTGTGCTTCTGAAAGCCCATGTAAGCTGTGATACTTGAAACGAAGACAATGCAGAACTCAGAAGTGAGTAGAGAGACTGAGAAAGATGTGTGTCAATGAGAATCAACTTGAGTGACATAAGACAAGACACAAATTCTTATGGTTAATGTTAATCTCTATTGATTTAAGAAAGAAAAAAGAAAAGAAATAAGATAAAAGGTGGCCAGAGTCCTTGCTCAGTATGGGTAGGTGTCACCATTATTACTGTTAGCTAGAGGACTGCTGGGGCCTGAGGCCCACCCTTACCCCTCGCTAGATGAATCAGGAGAACCAGGTGCTGGGAGCATAGGCATGGTAGAGTCTGGGTACCGAGCGTCATAGATACCAAAATAGATTCCCTGGATATTCTAGGCATATGGACCTAGTCTTTTGGTGAAGGAGAGGATAGGATCGTAGGGGGCAGAGCATGGGGCACAGGTCAAGTTTCCCAGGGAAGTGGCAGTGAGCCCTAGAGATGACACAGATTGAATCATGAATGAGCAAAGGGAGATGGTGAGTGAGGCTATCAGCACAGTGGGTATTGTGGATGGACACAACACATGTCTGCTTACCCCAGATAGGGAGCCCATGACAGACAGACCAAGGCACAGACTGAAGGGACTCTGGCCAGCTCGAGCCAGATGAGAATGGCTCTGGCAGGCTTTACCCTTAACTCCCATGACCTCTGCAGCCCTAAAAACCATTAGATTACATTCCTAAAGCTAGCCACTAAGGTCTATTCCCTTAGATAGCCACTTCCTCCTCCTGAGGCTGACTACCAAAGCCCAGAAATCAGAAGCCACTTTGGCTCCCCTAATTAACAGACCTAACTAAAATCAAACACACACGTCATCCTAACATGAATGAAGTTTTCCATTTTATTTTTATAAACCACCATTCGCCTATGGGCCACGTCTGTCTCTCTTTATCCAGAGGCAGTCCTTTGTCCCTACAGGACAAACTCCCCTGGTCCCTTTCCCTTGTTCCTTCCCTCTTCTCCCTCATCCTTTATCTACTGTTTTTGTCTCTATTTCCTGCCCTCTGTCCCTCTGGGGCAAATAAATCTCCTTTGTGCTGATAACTTGGTTTTGGGGGTCCTGAGCCGGTATTTTTCCTTGCACAGGCACCACCAAAATCCAAGTTGGTGAGCCCGTGAATTATTGGGATTACTTCCTGGAATATGTGTGAAGAGTTACAAGAGAGAGAAATACTCAAAGACAGATGCATCAGCAAGACCCACCCCTGCATGAGTAACAGCTCACAAAAGCTAGGGAACCTGGAGCAGCTTACCAGGGTGCAGTGTGTCCTTTCCACGTGACCCTGACCTAACCATCTTCAGGCAGCTGTGTGGGTTTGCACTTTGTCCAGCAGCTGGTCTGTACTCACGGTTTTCTTTGCAGCTCAGCTTTAGCACTTTAGGAAGGACTCTAAGCTTTTATTGCTTACTCCGCAGGAAAGGGTCTAGTGAATCTAGTCAGTTTCAGGGACTTCCTGAGGGTATTTTGAGTTTACCTCTCTGCCTAATGAGTTTCCCTGCAGGATGGAATGTTTCAGTCTCAGAGAAAGTTGTTATACAATAATGGGTCACATTGCCCAAACCTCTGTGCAATATCGAGACTTCAGTTGGTGGAGCTTGTGCTGAGGACCCTGGGGCAGTGTTTGTGTCAGGGCCCTGGGTTTTGTCTGCCCATTCCTGGGCGCTCTCTCTCTCTCTCTCTCTCTCTCTCTC